CATTCAGCACGTGATGGTTACGTCATTTTGGGGTGTACATTGTCTCGGGTGAGTGGTATGTAAAGCCTGACTAATCACGAACTATCGATTGATATTCCACCACGAACCGTGGCACGATCTCTTTCGAAATGCCTGTCACACACACGCATGTCGCATGCTGAGGTCCCCCAGGATGTTTACCAACTAATGCCCCTTCTGTCTGTTACTAATGTGGAAACCAGCATGTATTCGCCTCAGGATACAACGAAAAAAATGGGTTATCAAGGCTTTTTGCAATTCTTTCCTCATTAAACCGAACTGAATCCTAAAAGACAAACGATAGAAAGTATTTTTTGTATTTTCAACTTCTTTCCGGATAACAGACCGTGCAAATAAGATCGAACAACGGCTGGATTTAAGGACAGTTCGTGCTTTTTTTTAATGACACAATACCCATTGTCAAACGTAGCAGAAATCTTCCACGTTGAGATTTCAATTCACGTATGGGCTCAGTTTACATTTTCCCAGCTGAACTATTAGACGACACCGAGAGATCTAACATCGTGACGTGCGATCACTCATCCATCTACTAGTTAGTGTGTTTAGTTGATTGTCTTGACGGGAGTTCCGTATCATTGATCGAACTCCACCTGACTAATTCTGTGGCCATGCGGATTGTCAAAATTACGTTGTTTGGGAAGACACCGTTTAAAAGTGAATTTTTGATCAGGTGAGTAACCGCAGTGAGATTTGAACGCACATCGATACGCTTCGGTAGAGCATAGGCAATCCGATATTCAAGTGATTTGAGCAAAAGTGAGCGCATCGATCGGGGTGAGGATTATTATGACATTTCCATTTTTCGTTTGTTCTTTTCGCTGTGAGCTTTTTCTGATCCAAACCGGATCGTAACGATGATAACCATCAGCGGAGAATATGGGATTTTGAGTGTCGATCAGTATAAATTAGTATGATGGCCTGACAGCAGTGGGATTCTAATCCAGAGGGGGGTTTGAACTATTAACTCATTGATATCGGATCAGAACACTAGGACGTTTGAACGTGAGGCATTAGGATAAAAACTCTTTGTGATATCTAATCGCCCAATCGTAAGTGAATCTCATTGTGATTTTTCGGAGACAATCGATAAATTGGAGACGAATTCGATTATCCTATTTATTGGTTTACGCGGCCAATCGGATCTGGCTTTATGTGTAAACACAGCGTAAATGAACTCACTCTCATTGACTGTTTTTGTCCTTTTTCGAATGCAAAATTGATTTACACTGTTGCCAACAGTTTGTTGCTGCTTAATCCGGCGTACTGCTGTGTACCAGTAAAGTGTATGACTAAGTTGTGGATTTGAACAATTCAGAGATAAATCTCTAAATTGATTCACTTGATACACATCGATGTTAAGTAGATGCCATGTACAATTATGCCCGATAATTTTGATCCTCATGAGATGTTTGATTTCCGACTGTGTAGAGCTGTCAGCATCACCATTTCATCACCTATATTCCTGTTTTTCTATGAATGTTAGTTTGAAATCGTGCGAACGCCCCTCCACTTATCACCCTAATTTACTGTTTTGTAAACAGTTGATTACTGAAATGCAAAGATGACAATGATTATTTTGCTTCTATTTGTGTGACGAAGTTTTCCTTAATTTGGGAAAAGTCAGTAACTGGACAATGAATGACACTCTATAAAATACAAAAATACAAAGAAACCACGGGATCTACAGGCATAAGGATCCATATATACTCTCGTTTTAAAAATATATTGATTTCTCGTACGCACACTCGCTCAATCGTAACATTCGTACGAAACGACAGACAGAAAAGCCTATTGGCAGAGGGGTAAACGAAGCGTCTTCTTGTTATTT